CCGCTCACCGAGTGAAACGAAAAGCTAACAAGGCTAACTGCAGGTTAATGTAAGAGGTTAGAATATGCTTCTTGCGAGCTATTTTCCTTTCAGTCTTACAGAAACTGAAACCCCAGGGCAAAAGTACTGTAAATCACTTGTTCCTACTGGACCTTAGTCCATAAGTAAAAATTGAATCTGTCAATGCTCCTGTGGGCATTATAGCTCTGCCTTCTAGCAAAAGCCCCAGTAAGCTGACAAATCCTGAGCTGAACCCATTATAAAGCTGTCTGTCATGCCGCTCGTGCTGTAATAACACCTGCCCATTGCAGGCTTAAACCCAGATATTTAGCCTACACGTGACATCATTTTCCTCCTCCTGGGTCCAACGAACTCAATTCCTGCTACACAGCAGTAAGAGCCCAATCGCGTACAGCTTTATTACGAAGCATTTCCACTGGGAAGCACGGAGGTTTAGCGGTGACCAGTAAGCCATTCACCCGGCAGTTTTTAGGACTGGGTTTTATGGCGTTCAAATGGACGGAAGCGCTGGGACGGCACGGCAGTGCCTGTCTCGGCTGCCTCACCGGGCAAGCGGAAAAAGAAAGACGGTAATCTGTCGCCAGAACCCTTCTTCAGGGGCTACGTAAAATGCATTAAATGCACATGGAAATTTATATTCGTAAAAATGTAAATATTACAAAGACATGGGTATAGATTAGATTTATGTCACACGATATGACTCTACTCATCTCTCCAACTTGTTAAGAACCTGGAAGCCATAGTCACGTCCTACTTGATGAAACCGTAATTACTAATGGACTGGTAAGTTACTTTGCTGATTATACCTTGTTAGGTATTTGCAACAGCAACATAGACCGGTTTGAATGAAAGAAAACGCACGGCTTCGTAAGCACCAGCAGAAGCAGCAGAACCAGGAGCGAAAAGGACAGTCTGTACATCACGGGCACCGTCCCCAGAACATCAAACCCCAGCAGTGAAACTGCAGAACACGCTGTTTATCTCGAGATCAAAAGGCCTGCACTCGGATAACTCAAACCGCAGCAGGAATGACTCATCAGACCCTGCATCCTAACAGCAGGAGGATGGCGACAAGGTTGCAGCCTATTACATACACCATTCCCCTTCCCCTAACCCAAGAGGAGAACAGACCACATACATATATTTTAAGCATATATTTAAATGAGGAAAAAACAGACAAGACACGGCAACGTGGCCTAAGATCTATGGAGGCTAGAGACAGAAATATTCTCAGGTATAGAAAAACCTCATAACAACTGCTGATCCCTAAAAGGCCTGAAAGATCTGTCCAAAAACTTCCTCGTCATCGCCATTCAAGAACCCTAGGTATGTGAAGAGAACTGGGTAGCAGTGTCCCTTTCTCCTTGAGTCCAGACAACTTGGACGTGTCTTGGTACCTGTGAGAATGAGTGAGTTAAACTTATGAGAAAATGAGAGTAGGTAAAAGTCAGCTAGCTCAATGACTCTATAAACAAATATCACCTTCCCCTTCCGTAAGACCTAGCACTGAATTTTATTACTCTCATTTCCTAACACCAGCAGCTGAGACATAAGCTTCATATTTGTGAATTATATCCAGTTCAGACAAGGTTCTGACAGACAACATGACATTTAGATTCTGCAAAATCCGAGATTCAAAAAAAGAAAGGCAGTATGTTGCGAGACCTTACATGGGCTAAGAAGGTACTTACAGGGCAGCGTAAGTCACTGCACACATCTCTGGAGCAAAGAGGAAAAAGGAAGGAAAGATTTCGAAATGGGGTATCTCAAAGGCACATCAGTTGCTCACACTAGCATTTAATACTTGGGATTGCAAGTCAAATAAAGTAGATGCAATCCTTGTGGGTTTTTGGGGTTAAAAAACACAAAACGAGGATGTGCCTAGGCTCCTTGGGCAAATACCTCTGAGGAGGTATCAAAATACTGTATCAAGTGTCAAGGTAGAAGGTACCAAGAACTTTTCACAAAATTGTTGTTGCAAGAGGAGATACATCCAGCTTACAGTCCTACGGGGCCACACCAAAGCCACAGAAAATGTTTGCGACTCCTCTTTTCTTCCACAAATCTGTCTTGCAATAGGAATTGTCTTTAAGTGTTCAAGTTTACCTATCAGCCTGTTAGAACAAAGCTAAACAGAAATACAACACAGAAGTGTATCTTTTTTCTCTTATTAACATCATGTAATTTTTTTTCTTTTAAAAAAATAAATTAAAAGGTAAAGACAAAACATAACTGCTGAGAAAACCCGACCTAAATGGATTCTTCCATCATATATTTCATTTAGTACTCTCTGGAAAATCAACTGGTAGCAATAACATTAATTAGCCTGACTGCTACGTGCACATCACTGATATTTTTATTACTCTGAATAAAGGTACCCACTACTGGCATATACCCACCGCTAGAACGACAGGTATAGAAACAGAAAATAAACCCGCCACTAGAACGATGCTATATTGCAGCTATATCCTGTATTTCTTCAACAGTGTATTTATGTATGTATTTATGTAGATTTATTTTACCTATTTCACACCCCTCATGACTTAGAACGCTGTACAGATTAACAGAAAACCTAACTAGAACTGAGCCAAAAAAGTCTGAAGAGGGAAAAAAAAAAAATGTTAAAAGGAAGGGGGGTGGGAAGAAAACCCAGAAAGGTCAGAGTCAAGAGTTACACGTATCTCGGCAAACGAAGAATTCTGAAATAATTCTCAGAAACTATCTGGAGAAATGGAGAAAGTACTTTGTACAAGATAAGATGCATCCAACTGAAGGTCACAGCAAAGACGAAAAGGGCAGCTTTCCTAGAAGCTGAAAGAAGAAAAGTTATGCTTTGGTACTCTTCCCCTTGTCTCAGTCCTTCCAGTACTGAAGTATATAACAAGCTAAACACAATGCTCTTGGGAAATGACTTTCTGAGGGGGACACAAAAGCTTTGCCTCCCCTGAACACAACAGTGGGACTCCAGTCAGTACCAGTATGGTGGACTCCGGCACGAGTCCTCCGGTGAACGGAGATGCAGCCTGTGAAGGCATCGCCCTTCCTTAGCTGGCTTCTGACGCAGGATACGACCTCTGCAGCAGAAGCTGAAGAAACATTTCCGTCTAAGCCTCAGCTGTTCCAGCTCATACGTCCAGCGTTTCAGTGCGTGCGTACCTTTACTGCAACTTCTTAAATTTCTGCAGATAGATTCCCTGGAGAGTAATCTATCAGGGACACAACAGACAGTTTCCCATCACTCCATCCTGGTTTGTGGCAGGAAAACCAGAATTAGGGCTTCTTGCTTTCTCGTCCCTACAAAACTTTTCAAGACAGGTTTACAAATACTTGTTGCATTGGAGATATCTTAGTAACATCACCAGAACATGTGTATCTGCACTTGGAAGCTTATTTGCTCCAAAAAAACCCCTAAACCCCTCCAAAAAAACCCCACCACCAAATTCCAGGAAATAAGTTTGTGGCTAATGAGCAACACAGAAAAATTAAAGGCTCTATAAAGCTGTATTTCTTTTTATCCTAAGAACTTCAGTCTCAGCCTGTAATCCTAAACTTTAGTCCCAAATGTATTATCTTTCAAAATTCATTTAAATAGTATGTTGGAGCTCCATTAAACTTCTGCTAAGTTAAAGTTTTGGCTGTATGTTTATTCTCAGTGATCAGGATTATTCTCTTCCCAAGAGCTGCTAATTCTAAGCATTATTATTACAACTGACAAAAAAAGCCCCTAAAGAATCCAGTGATATGCCAAATTAGACTACTTTTATCAAAAGCAGCAGGAGCCATCGGTTAGGACTAGAACAAAGCAATAGAAAAAACTATTCCAGAACAACAATGTACAATTGTCTTTTGAATAAAGAATAGGTGAATATTTGTATTTGTTCACTTTCTTTTTTCTGAATGCATCACTAAACTTAAATTTGTCTGAGGAACTTATCTCATCAATCCACGTGTCAGTCTCAGAATGTGTCACTATTCACCCCAAGGTATCAGACTCTTGGGAGAGAATTTTGGCCTTAGCCATCAGATCAGACAACTCTCTTCACAGTCACTGCAAGGGCAGCTGCATTCCTCTCCCTCGGCCACCAGACTCAAAGGCAGAAGCAAATTCTCAGTTTGCAAGCCAGAACATGTTCCACTGGATATTTACAGCCAACCACTGAAATCCCCGAAACCTGTCAATGATGTCAAACAGGACAGAAATAGATCATCTTGCTTGTTTTTCCTAAATAAACTTGCATTCATAAAAGAAACAGGAACAGAAACCTTGAAGAAAAAGAATTCTCTTTTATTACACCCACTATGAAAGCACTAAACCACTCAGCTTTTCTTGGAAGAGCCACTTCAAGAAAAGTAATCATATTTGTCTCTCTTTCTTCGAGTTTTATCTCTCCGCTTACATTGTCAGCAACAAAAGCAATTTTTTCTTTTCATTCCAAAGCTTTTTTTTTTTAAAGCAAACAAACAAGAGACACATTGGTAACAGCAGGATCTATAGGGAGGTTCATCATGCCATTTCGCATGCCACTAAGTAGAAGAACGATGGTTGTAAACATCAGTCCCCAGCACCAGGTGAAGGAGCTCAGGTTTAACCACCACAAACAGGCATTACTTCTGCATTACCTTACAGTAATCCAGATGGTTTGCACAACAAAACCAGGAACAAAATCAAAATGAGGAAGCTATTTTCAGCCTCATTCTTTATTACTGAAGATTTTTATTGACTGACAGAAGTAAGGATAGGCATCAGATTTGGTAGGAAGCTGCTTTCAGAAAGTACCATTAAAATCGAGCTGCGTGACTTCAGAGACGGCGACGGGCAAAAATTAGTTTCAGGAGATCTCAAGTCTAAATAATCCCTCTACGTTGCATGTTTTCAAGCAATGCTGTTCATGCCCTACAGAATAATTTTTCTGATCTCCAACTCAGCAAAAAAAAAAATAAGAGCTTTAATTAGGAATGAATAAAATAAGAATACTTACGCTGACCCCATCGGCCTGTTCTTGGATTCAAATAGTTTGGATAAAGTCCATTAGGACGATCCATTTTTTGAAGTAACTTCCGAATGTGCATGACCTAAATTAAATCAAGAATCAGGATCACCACTAACAGAGTTCATCTGCCCTCTGCACATAGTTAAATCCAATCTTTTTTCTTTTTCCTTTCGTAGTAAGTTTTCTTAACCTGAACCCAGAAGCTTTCTTGAGGGCTTCCTGCAGATTAGTACGTTTTTGCTTTTAAAGGACTGCTCACATAAACATGTTTAAAAATTACGATTCTTAAATGTATGCTGAAACAAATAAGAAAACTTGTGTTGTCATAAATTACTACTTCAAAAAGTCACCTGTTTGGTAACAGAAATACAAGTATGAAAAAAATTATCTGCTACCAAGAATGCAAATAGAATGCAATATAGAGAGTACTTCCCCTTTAATACAATTTATGATGAAGCAGGCTAAAAGACATTTGTATGATAAAAAACTGGACTTGAGACCCACCTTGTTGTAGTACACAGGGTCCCCTGTCAAATAGCTGAGGTGGACGAATTCCATGTGCAGAGTACCAAACTCAGCGAGGATGCTGCTGCCAGCAGAAGCCCAGCCCCAGTTGCGACCCACACCACTGAAGTCCAACAAACGTGCATGAAAAAGGGAGAAGAGAACAAAAAAATGCAGAATTACCGTGCACAACACTCGTAACAGCCACCACAGCAAATTAAACAAGTAACAGCAAAATATTAACCCGTACTTAGGATTACAGAGTTGTGGTTTGATTGATCGGTTCGTTCATTGGTTGGGTCTTTTTGGAAAAAAAGATACCATAACCTCATCAACCAAAAGTCCTGGGATTAAAAGATATAATATCTTGATGTCACGGAAATAGAGTGTCCTAACACCGGGCCCAGTCTCGATTGCTGTTTATTCATTGCACGTTCCTAAGAACAAGAACCAAAAGCAATTATCGGGCAGACGAGCATACTGCCGAAGGTGGCAGCATGCGCTTCCTTGTTCTGCCCAGCATCTGCTGCGTTCCCTGTGCTCATGAGGGATGTGCTTCGGGTCAGTATCAGACACAAGTCATAACTCCTAAATTACCCCTGGTTTAATCTAACTCGGGACTTTTCACCACCTTCCAGGAACGGGTCTTTTAATTTCTGAAGACAACTACATTTTCCTGGAGATCACTTCGATCTTCTTCTCATAAAAGATTTCAGTTATCAGCAAGACTACAACCAATTAGAAATGTCTTCCTACTTATTTTTTAAATTATAAATTAGAAAGAGGAAAGGTAAAGGAAAAATGTTGGTTACGGAGCAGTATTTGTAGCTCTGACTTGAGCCACAACACCACCTTTTAAAGTACAGTAACCGCTGTTTACAGTGTAGAGAGACAAAATTCATAGCTTGCCTCCCTGGTTTTTTTGTACACCTCTCATGAAAAGAGAAAATTAAGTGTTTCATTACGAATACAAAAGCTAATAAAACACAAGTTGATAATTTTCCAAATATTTCTTTCAGGCCTTGTCTTTTACTGCACGTCAGCCTCATGATGAGCGTTCTCAGATACGCCAGCCACTCTGCCTTCTGCCGCAGGTTCTGTACGCTAGCAAGAGACCGACGCGCTAAACGCATAACCAACAGCGGCACGCAGGAGCTTTCTGGCACTCCAATCCTTTCCCCTCCACCTACTGCAAATCCTCCTCCCTGGTTCTGCCGTCCTGACCGTGCTCTGATACCCGACCTATGCGATCGGCCTCCGTGTTTTACTGATAAGTAAGTATCCACGCATCTACCGCTTGCAGTTTCTTAAGCCTCGCCATCTAGGTTGCTCGAGCCAGCGAACCAGACTCCCGAGGAGTACGGCCACCAGGGCCATTCAAACATACTGGAATCACGGCACAGTCTTGGGCTAAACAATGTAAAAATAAAAAAACAACGTATGCACAGAGGAGCTTCAAGCCATCTGAAACCGCAGGAAGAACATGAGACTGAACAAACCATAATGCCACGCAGAACGCGCGCAGGGAAATTTAACGCAACAACAGGGGGTCAAATCAATGGGGAAAGCGCAGCACAGGCAAAGCAGAGAGGAGCAGGCACGGGGGGCCAGGCCCTGCGCCAACAGAGGGGCAAACCACAGCTCCACGGTCTTCACCCGGGAAGCGACAGCACATGAGGATCGTTTCCTGATCACAAAAAGGCACGCAGGGCTAATGCTCTCCAAGTAGGCCTAAATTTCTTCACAGTCTGACAAAACACAACAAATCTCTCTCCTAAAAGGAAAACAATTTAAACCAATTCAAAAACTCTGCTATTTACTATCCCGAACTGCTTAAGTGTACACGCGATCTAGACATCCATCCTAATTCAGCGACTGCTGAAGAACATAATAAAAATTTTTAAAATGCCTTGCATCAAAAAAGCTCTCAAAATCTGAGGGAAATCCCAGCGCTGAGCAAGCAGCACACAATAAATGAGGGAAGGCAATTCTCTTCCACAAGGCAACGCAGCCCATCTAAGTTCAGTGGCTACCCTGAACAGCCATCTCAAGGGGCCTCTCCATCTCCACGGACCGTAGCGGTCTTCAGCACGCTAGCCTTCACACCTAAGCTGAACTGTAAAATAAATTAATATCTTCAGAGTCCCATCATGAGTCTTCTGAAGGTAACATACAGCTCACACAGTACATAAAACCCAGGAAATTCAACCACGGCCTGCAAACAATTTTCTTTAATGACTAAAAGACCAATGATTAAGCTCTAGGGCAACACACGGCATGTTCCAACACTGAATTCTTATCGCAGAATCAGGAGAAAAAACATCATGGTCACAATTTGTTGCAGTTAATGAGGTAGAATGATCCGAACTCCATTAAAATTATTCTAAAGTGCCACGAATGCCAATTTGTCTGCATCTTCTATAGTTCCACTACTAAGGAAAACTGACGTATGCCATTACTAATTTAAAGTTGGAAGGAGGAGGAGAAACACTTCCCCACAAAAGAAAATGCATTACCTTTTCAGATTCACCATTGCCCATGGTATACCCGTAGGTGTGTTGAAGGCTGGAAGAAGTTTTCCTGCCAGTTGGACTGCTTTGATCTTGAAAACCTAAGACAGCAGGATCAATTGCAAAGAGTTACAAAGTCTGATTTATCTCCAAGAACTATAAAGACTGAAATTTCCTTGCCCCACCCACCTCTTTGTATTAGAAAAGCTTTACATTATAAAAAAATACATGAACTTATCATTTATTTTTCACTTCTTCGCTTTATAAATTTCATTAAGATTTGAACATGAAAAGAAAACTTGTAATTTTCATTTCTTTCCTTCCATGCTCTCCAGCAAGAGTGCTTAGGTTCCTATCAAAGAAGAATATAAATTCTCCTCCCACCTCCCTCCGCCAATATCAGGAATTTCAAGTGCTTTCTAAAGCAGTCTTTAAACTATACTTTGTCTCTTGATTTTTAGCTCCAAAATACAACTCCCCCACCCCCCACACAAGTATTTTAACTTTTACAAATTCCCAATCTCTTTTTAACGAGAGATATATATTGTGCAGACAGAATTCCTATTCTTTTACGAACGTTGTCTATGCAAAACCATATATACGCAGTTTCCTGTAGCTTATCCTCATTGATAATGCATAAGAAAAATAATTATAGGCTTAATCTTCCCTCTCGAGTCTAATTACTCACAGAAATTGCTGACAGGACAAAATCTCTTTCATTTCTAGTGTTGTTCCTACTTACTTTTGGAACATAAATCCGTAATAGCCTTATTCAGAGCCTAATGTTTATCAGTTAAATAAGCAACTGGGAGAAAGCTCCTTCTAAGCCTACGGGAAGCATCTTTTCCAAGAAGGCATATTTGGTAGATCGCCATGACGTAAAACTGTTTTTACCAGCTAGGTGCTAGAATACATTTTAATTAACTCATTGTCAGTACTCACTACATTTGTGCAAAAGTATCTTCTTAATTTGGAGATAACACTATTCATCGGTTTGAAGCACTGCACAAACATGCAACAAAGAGCTACCATGCCCTCAAATAACTTGGGCAACGTGGACATAGTAAACATTATCATCACCTACCTGACCAATACCTCTGTACTCAAGAGAAATAAGAGAATAGAAGGACTACAAGACAGCTCTGCTGGGTGTATAAAAAGGATTTCTCCCTTTTGTAAAGTCTATGGGAGGAAAAGAGAAGAGATGCTTGCTGGAGAAGCAAGCTGAAAAGTAGCTGAAAAACAAGCAATCAAGAACATCCTCATTTTTCACATGAAGGTGGGAAAAGATCAATATCTTAATATTTGAGGAGATGACTAGTGAGACGTGGAATAAAACAGAAAAGAATATTAAAGATGACATCTAATTGTATTTGATGCAGTGGAGTATGGAGAGATAGAGGTGGATCTGAAAGCAATGAGCCAGGAAAGAACTTTTACAGAAGTACTCTAAGTGAATTGTAAGATGGGATATGTCTAAACTGAAAAAGAGGATAGCTCAGAATACGGTTTGATAGAGTTGTGAAGTAACAGAGGCAACGTGGCTAGAATGATTTTTAGCAAAGATACTGACAAGAGACGTGCAGAAATTTAGCAGTAAAATTCAGATAACGCTCTGACCCTGAATGAAGACCAAGCCAAACCAGGAAGGCATAGTATAAATAAGAGATGCAATACAGATGGGGTCTACGGTAACTGGGGAAAAAGAAACCCTGAAGAGAACTAAAAGCTCTACCTTGGCCCAGTTACATATAAATTACCTGATTTGCATCTATAAATACATGTCAAAAATTCATGCTGAACTTTTAGATTTTTTAAGTAGTAGATGGGTCAAGACCAGACAGAACTGTCTATAGGGAGGCATCTACAGGGAGTTCCTCTACAGCACAGACAAGCTTCAACACCTAATCCAGAACAGAACGAAGACTTGCAATTAAACGGTCCATAGTTCAGACGGACATTTGTGGCATGAATTTGTTTAGCTTCAGCTTTTGCATCCTGCACCCTCTGAAAGCGCTACGCGTTATTGTCTTACTCATTAATAAAAGATATTGAAGCATTAGGGTAAGAATATTCAATGGGAGAACATCCCTAGAAACATCCTCACTATGAGAATACTCTTAATGGCTAACTATTTACATACTACTGTCCAGCTTTTAATTAATTTGAAACGTCCTATGATGATTTGGGGGACAAACTATAGTATTGGAAGCAGTTTTTAGTAAGAGCGCATGAAGTAAAGGTTGAGCTGATCTAAACGTGCATGAACCTAGACAAGGACAGTTAAAGCAAGGCAGTCGCTGTGCCAGCCGTTTCAGCGTGTGAGCAAACCAGAGCGTCGGGGTGGCAGCAGTGACCGCTAGGTCAGAGAGCCGTGTTAGAATAGACCAGGCTATTTCAGTTGGAAGGGACCTGCAACGATCATCTAGTCCAACTGTCAACGTTAGCGGTAACGGCGAAAACTTGCTGTGATTAGAGGCACCCTCCTCTCACCTCTGTTGGGTTGAGGACTCTACGTACCACCGATTTAGCATCAGAAGGTAAAACTCCACCTCTCTATATCCCTCTCATCCAAGACTGACTCCAAGGAAACGCTTAAAAAAATGGCCAAAGACACACCGTTACTTTCTGTTACTGCCACCTCAGTCCTCTCTCACTGCTGCTTCTGGATACCCAAACCATCTAGGGCACGATACAGCGTTCACCTATGCAGACCGGAGTGAGAACCGAGACACAGCTGCACAGGTTTTTATCCGAGCAAAGTGACCAGACGAGCGTATTTGGAGAGATGCAGGGAAAAGAAAGAAATATAATGAGCAGTGCTGGATGAGATGCCTTTTATGGCAGACTGCAGATGTGACCGGAGTGCTCTGCTGAGCTCATTAAAGTGACTTCTTTTAATAAGTTTCAGACTTACTTTAAGAGCAACAGTAAATGCCTCAGGCTCTAGCTTTTAAATAATGTGCTGACATCAGACAACATGGTTACTTATCATATAGTAAGTATTTTTATTTTTATTTTTTTTAAAACAGGTTGAACTGATAGATTCTATTTCAGCCTTGGCAGTTCCCTGTTGGCAGGCAATGCATTTCAAGAAATATACAGGCAAGAACAACAGAGAGGAACAAAGAAATGAATGGAAGCCTCGAAAATCGAGCTCATTAGGAAACAGTGAAAGAATTCAGGTTATTTAGTCCAGAGAAAAGATGTCCAAGAGAGGACAAGATAATGACTTTTCAGTATATAAAAGGCTAATACAAGGAAAAGGAAATAATGATTTTTTTCCGTGGACATGGAGAATATAAAACGGAGCAAGGAAAACTAAGTTAGTTATTAGGAAAAAGTTGGTGGTAAGGATAACTAATAATGAAACATGACTGTGACTGCTGCATAATCATCACCACGGCTTCTAAAAACACGCTGCACGACATCCGCGACCACGAAGACTGGCGTGATTTGACTCTGCCAGGGAACAGAAGAAGAACAGAAGCACACAGCTCCCTCCCCGCTCTCCCAGCCACACTGCCAGTTAATCAAATGCCTCGTGCACATTCCATACACGTAAGAGGAAAGCGTTTTGTCTCTCCTGGGGCCTTGCACCTACTCCGTAGACCCAGACAGCACCTTTGTAACTGGTGCCTAAATCACGGAGACCACCCGTCCCCAAGTTTCTTTGCTAGCACAAGCTCCAAAGTACAGGACCCTGTAGTGGACAGGGAGTCACAGAAACCACAAAGACAACAGCTCTCAAAGAAGTGCTGCTCCTGCAGGGTAACTCAAATCTTTTTCCAACTGTGCATTCAGACTTACATTAACTACAGAATTTAGCACGTAGTGGCCTTAAGATGTGGAGGAAACTGATGAGAGTCATCTTAAAGTAAAGACCCCATAACAGCTCTAGCAAGACATCTTATTTTTAAGATGCAAAAATACTGTTCTAGGTAAACATGTGTATTAATCGCAGGGCAGCTGTTCTGTCCATTCTCAAAATATGGACATTTTTTCAGAAAAGTTTCAGAAGCCACCATAGACTTGGACAGGTATTTCCATTTTACACGGCAAAAATCTAATACACTAAGCCCATTGATTTACATGGCCTTTGGCAGGCTAATGCTTCTTTCTGCAAAAGCGGTAAAGCAATGGAAGGACTTTTTCCCCCTACCAAGTAGAAATCAGGCTGTTTACAGCTAGAAGGAGAGAGAGTAAAAATTAGCAAAAAAAGCAAAGCCTAAACCCCAAATCGGGTAAGTGGATCCCTCATTAAGATGAAAACATCCATCAGTATCTACAAACTAGTGTGCACAGCAGACCAGCTGTGAGCCTGAATCATTTTCATCCATTAAATTGATGCTTAACATATCAAACCTGCCACCCACTCCACAATATGAAAGCTTGCTCCTGAGCCTATAAATCCAAGTAAGGCCAAAACATTCAGCAGAAAAAGGCCTTAAAGATTAAGAAGATTCTTCAAAAGCCTTATTGATGTATCCAGTGACTGAACTGAGATGCATGGCTGCAACACTTAGAAGACTATATTATGCTAACACGGTTGTAAGGTGTTCCCTTCCAGCACCATGAACGGCAAACAGCCTCAAATGGCCTCCGTTCCCAACTCTGAGGAGGATGATATACATTTTATACAAATAAAGAATCTCTTTCGTTTATGTGCACAGATCAGTCTTTGAGTCATTCCTCTTAAACAGTAATAAATACCAGACTTCTGCTTAATCTGATAGTTATTAACTAGTGAGTATCCACGGTCATGCAACGTGGCTGGTTCCGTAGGTTTGATAACTTTTGATCCTCGAGAAAACATCAGACAAAACAGATATAGTGCACAAGTTCACCGAAATGTAGTACTCTCACCGTCAGTGCTACTCTTACTACCAAATCCTGCACACGTTTCCTGTGAACACCAAGCACGAAGATGACGAGGCAGACCTATCTAGATTAAAAAAACCAGAGCATCTGACAGCAATACTAGACTCAGACCCTTGAGGAAAATATTTGCTATTTCCTGGCCCAATCTAGAATAGTTATCTTTCTACCCTCAGAGTTCAATCTGCGGTAGTGAACTCTTCGCCACCCGTTTGTGGCTAAC